GTCAAAATTCATCCAACTGTATAGCTAACATCTGTCCATTTCACTACATGGAAAAATCTAACTTGATTGAAGAGTTTCAACTGGTAAAAATAAAAACAAAGCACAGAGGAAAAAATACATAGTTTTAAGGATACCAAAAATACATAGTTTTTAGGATACCAAAAAGGATAGGTAATGCAATCCTGAACGAATCTGACTGCCAGGGAGCTTAAAGTTAAATCCCCCGGACACTACACAGGCTCTGGGTCTTTTGATGACCCCAGACTATTTGTGCCCTTCACTATAATCTGCTTCAAATCCTTCTTGGAACTTGGTGGGTTTTAAATAATATAAAATGACTGAAAAGCCTTCTCAGCCTCTAATCCCCCTTAGAAAGGGGATTAATCTTAGAGCCAAACCTTGTGACCATCTCCCCTGCCAGAATGGGCATCCATTGCCACCTCTCCTGAGGTCCCAACATGTCCCCGCCATTTTCCTTGTCTTGAAGAGGAGACACCTGCCCAGCAGACCGCTAAGAGTAAGCTAAAGAAACGATGGGTTTGAGGAGGATGCAGGCAAAGCAAGCAGCTGTAAGGAGCCAGGCCTAGGCTGGGAGGACAATGAGCACAGAGTGGGAAGGGGACAGGCGGGTCTTGGGAAGCACCAACTAATGACCAGGGTGGGAAGTGGGGGTCAGTAGGTGCCACTATCACAGCCTGGCCGTCCACCTGCCTCACTGTAGGCATGAGCTCCTCCATTAAGGTACTGGGACCCACTTCAGGGGTGCTCTCCTTCCCACCAGGCGCCCCCACCCTCTTACTGCAAGTTGCTGCAAACCACATTTGAGGACAGGCCTGCACCTCCCCAGTGCTCCACTGCCTGCAACCATGAGCCCCCTCCTGGAGCACTCAGGGCAGACCATCCACGCTATCGGTGGGCTGAGATAAGTCCACTCATGGCTTATCCAGGGCTCAGAAGGCAGGGTCCTGCAGGCAGGTGGGGGCAGGGGAGGCCAGGGTCATCCCACCACTAAGGCCTTAAAGAAAGGGGCACTGGAGCAGACTGGGGCAGGCCATGGGGAATCGTGCTGGAGCCAGGAGTGGGTCTTGATCACCGCACCAGTCAGCAGAGCGGGATAAAGATGATAACCTCAACAACAGTAGCTGCTATGACTGATTAGCCTCTTAGTGCTTTCTGCAACCCTTGCCAAGTCCTCACAAAACCCCCAGAGCTCAGGGCAGTTCACGTCTCTGCGATACAGAGGAGACAACGAGCTCAGACACTCGCCCGCGGTATGGATGGCCCAGCCCCATTCCTTCTAGAGCTCTTGTCCTCCTCACCGAGCATCCTCCCCAACGAGAGCAGCCTCTCCGGGAGCCCACGGCCTTCCCGACAAGGCTTCCGGGACGGCGCTGCCAGGCCAGCTCTGCACAAGGACCCGGCCACCTGTCCGTGGGGACTCCTCAGTGCTCCCAACACCACATCCTTGGCAGGCAGGCAGGGCAAACTGGGGCAGAGGCAGAGAGAGAGGAGGAAGCCAGTAACCAGATAACCCCAACAATAAAGGCACAATCACAGATGGGGGTCCTGGAGGGCTCCCCAGGGCAAGGCCCTCAGCCTGAGCACTCAAGAGGGCCTGAGCAGGGCAACCTGGAGAGCAAGGCAGCAGCTGGCGATCACTCCCTGCAGAGGGAGAGCCACACAGAGCCAAGGCCGGTGGGAAGAGGGAATGTGGCAGGAAGGCCTTGTGCTCTGGAGCCTGAATGAGGACTTTGGACCCAGACATTGCCTCTTCCCACTGTCCTCTTCTGAGCCATCCTACCAGGCTCCAGGTGTCCACAGCCTGGCTGCCCAGGCCAGTGCCTCCTCACTCCCTGGCCAGCTCCCCAATCACAGCACTGGCTGGCACAGAGCCAGGCACAAGGGGCCCGGGATCCCTGGCAAAGGTTCAACCAGGTTCTGTGCCTGGCCCACTGATTTTCATCGACCACTACTGGGGCTGCACAGGGCTAGACCCACCCTGCTGCACAGCCCGGGGCAAGCTGCTGCGTCTCCCAGGGGTGCCGAAGGGGTTACACAAACTCATGCTGGGAGAGCCATAAGCAGAGGGTCGTTCTCTCAGCAGACTTGGCCTCGGAGCTCAACAAGCCACAATCCCCACAATTAGAGGCTACGCAGGATGATGCTCACTTTCTAGCGCTGGATCCTGCCAAACTCTGTTCCCACCTTGGCTCTGCTCTCAGTGGCCATGTGGCAAGACGCAGGTCCTGCCTGAGCCTGTGAAGCCCTGAGCCCAGCATCTGGCACACAGGTCACTCCACACATCAGCACCCTCACTCCTTGGAAGAACCCCTCCTTCAGTAAAGGAACAGAGGAGGAGCTGGAATGGATGAGCCCATTTCACAGGCAGGAAAACAAGAGTCAGGCACAGACAGCAGGGAATTTCTCTACAAGCTGGAAACTGGCCTCTCACCTTCTCGCCAGACAGTGCCAGGGGGCAGCCAGCACCTTGTGCCAGTGCCTGCCAGAGGGTCTGAAGTGGGTGCAACAGCCGTTTTCCTTTCAAATGCTTCCTGCCTACCCAGAGCAAGAGGCCATGCTAAAGAGGAAGGCAGATGTCAGAGCCCAAGCCAGAAGGGTCTCCAGGTGGAGCTGAGCCCAGGAAGGAGCACTGTCAGGGAGTCAGAAGGAGCATGTGCCTTCCCCTCTCTGGGTCCCAGACCCTGTGCAGGTGAAACGGCAGTGCGACCAGCTGACCCCTGGAGGGTCCTCCTGCTCCAACACTCAGTAATCACTCCGGGCTCAGCCGAGGCCGCTCCAGCCTCTTCTCTCCCCATCATCACCTCCCGCTTCATTCCGAGGCATCTTGTAATTTCCCTGGGCCGAAGTGCCTGCGTCAGCCGTCCAGGAAAAGACTGCCCAAATGAGCGGGTGTGCTTAAAACCCAATGTGTCCCTGAGCACCACACGGGGAGTCACCACTCCGGGCTCCAAGAGCAGAGCTGAAGCAAGCCGCCTGCCTGGAAGCCTTCACGGGGCCTCACCACTTAGCAGCACATGAAAGCAATTTTCCGAACATTTCATGGCTGCTCCAGAAACGAATTTCTCCTCCCAGCGCCGCCAGCTTACACATTTCCCAAGGCCCGGGGAGAGAGCCAGGGCGATCTGACAGCCCTGCCCCATAGGGGACCGATGCAGAGACCTCTGCCAACCCCCTCAGAGCCCCTGGGGGCTGTGGCTGCAGGCGGAGGGTGGGAAGTGACTTGGAGCTGGCAACAGCGTGGACGGGCCAAGCAGACCTTGGCTGGCAGGTCTGCACAGCAGTGCCCACAGCGGTGTCGGTCCATCCAAGTCCTAACCAGGCCCTGGCCTTCCTGCCATCCCTCTCTTGCTACAGATGCGTCCACTGGGGTACACAGCCCACACTCCTGTAAGGCAAGGGGTATGAGTGCCATTCTCTGTTGTGACTGTGGACAACAAAACCAAATCCAGGGCAGACCTCCCAAATGGAGGCCCATCCAGGCTCTGAGTGGCCCAAGTCCCATTCCCTGAGACCTAGGCCCTCAAACAGGCTCAGGTGGTCCGCCTCGTCCCTCCGGCCAGCACCCACGGGGCCAGGGCAGGGCCCAAGAAAAGACCCAGAGCTTCGCAGGAAAGCAGAGCGGGAGAGGAGGGCTTGGCAGGCATTTTCCGTTTTTTCTTTCTCTTGATGAGGCAATTATGCTCTGAACCAGAATAAATTGGGGGTGAGGGTATTCACATCAGCACTGTCTGGAAGCCCTAATTTTTTCATCTGCAACTCTGCATTACCACTTCGGGAGGCGGGCGGGAGCTGGGATCTTTAATTCCGTAATCACAATGCTTTGCACTGACACAGCATCTCTCCTCCAGCAGTCTCTAACGGTGGTTAATTACGAGGCCACTTGCCCTGCCAGGAAGCCCTGACTGTCTGCCTCACCCTAAGGCCCGGGGGGGTCCCCCAGCTGAGGAGGGCAGCCCCAGGTGAACAGTTATTCGGGGGCCCAGCGCCCCACGCTGCCAGAGGGAAAAGCCCCAGAGTCCTCAGGGAAACAATGGCTGGAGGCCACCGCCTTCCAGCCTGCAGACAGCACCCCTCCTGCGGAGGGCTCTGGGTGTGGGCCGCACCTCAGCCTGTCCATCTGCAAAGCAGGCTGGGGCCTGCACCTGGGCCGGTGCCTGCGGGCGGCCAGCATCACCTGCCACCTTCTGAAGGGGGGTGGTGAGGGGTGTGTGGGGGGGGGGGGAGGCAGATGCTCCCAGATGCGCTGGCCTGAGTGTGGAGCTCCGGCCTGGAGGCTGCCCAAGCGGCCTGGGGCAGGAGGAGGGAGTGCCAGGAGAGGAGCCCCCAAGGTGGGGAGGGGGAGGGGGAAGGGACCTGGCCCTGCGCCCTTGGGGTTCAGAGGCAGAGAACTTCCCGGGAAAGTGAGCGCATCAGCCGTGGGGGGGGGGGGGGGGAGGAGCGGGGGCAGGGCAGGGGAGGGGCGGCTGGCACTGAACCCCACCCAGCCAAGCCGCCCGGGGGACGCGTGTCTCCGGACAGGTCCGGGCCGGCGCCAGGCCTGACCATCCCGGGAGGTCCCCCCCGGAGCACAGCGGGGCAGCCGCCCCAGGGGGACACCACAGACCCCCCTCGCCGGCCCCCACGATCCTGGAGCGCCACAGCCCCTCCCCGCGGCCTGGCCTCCCGGTGGGGGTCGGGGGGGGGGGACGGGAGAGGGCAGCACGGGCTCCTCCGGGCCCAGCTGCCTCAGGATCTCCGGGGCAACAAAGACCCTCTTAGCCCGGCCGCCCGGGGCTCTCCCGGGCGCAGCGCGCACCCACGGGCCGGCCGGCTCCCGGGACGAGGATGGAGAGAAAGGCAGGGACCCAGAGGCCGGCTCGGGAGCCGCCCACGGTGCCCCCACCCCCGTCCGAGAAAGCCCGAGACGGAGCACCCCCGCCCCCCGCCCGGGAGCCCCCGCGCCCGAGGCCCGGTCCGGGCGGCGCGGGGCCGGTACTCACCGGCACGGACATCTTGGCCGCCCTCCGGGCCGGGGGGCGAGAGGCGGAGACGGCGGGGCCGGGGCAGCGGGGCCGGGCTGCGGTCCGTCCGCCGCCCTCACAGCGCCGGCGGGGCCGGCTCTCCGGGGCCGTGCGTCCTGCGCGCTCCCGGCGGCCGGACGGTCCGGCGGCTCCGGCCCGCGCGGCGCATGCGCCCGGCGCGCCACACCCCTCCTCCCGGCTCCTCCGCCGCCGGGGCCGTGTTAAAGGCGAGGACCACAGACCCAGGCACTTTTCTGTCGGCCCAACGAGGCTCAGAGGCTCGGTCACCACCGTTTACCCACCTTTCCAATCGCACCGTCTCCTCTTTGCCCACCCGGTTCTGGGGGTCAGAACCCTCACCCCCACATTGCACCGTCTCCTCTCTGCCCACCCGGTTCTGGGGGTCAGAACACTCACCCCCACACTGCACCGTCTCCTCTCTGCCCACCCGGTTCTGGAGGGCAGAACACCCCACAACACACACACATATACACACATTGCCCAGCGCAGGGTCCTGGGCGCCTGCCCGGTGACCTGGCTGGGCTCCCAGCCCTTGTCTGTGTCAGCAGAGCAGGGGGTCCCAGAAGCCCTTCTCACCGCCCCAGCCGCCCCAGCCGAGAGCCAGAGACCCAGGTAACCCGCACCGGCTGCCCAAGGCCCTCTGCCTGCGCTGGGCTCCCCGCAGCCCCTGGCCCAGGGACCGTGTGGGGAGGATGAGTGAGCACCAGCGTCAAGGTCCAGTGGCCAGGGCAGTGTCTGGGAAGGCCAGCACGGCAGCCCGCCCAGAGGAGGAGGGGCAGAGCTGGTTCCATGAGGCTGGAGGCAGGCGGCAGACTGGGCTCCCAGCAGCTCCTGGGGCAGACAGAGGGCTCCAGCCCCTTAGGAAGTCTGTAGGGGCAGGTGCCCGGGGGACAGGCTCTTTGTCTGCGGGGAGTGCAGGGCCAGGAAGCCAAGGGGATTGAACAGAGGAGGGAAGCCAGGGCAGGTGGGCTTTTTCAGAGACCCAGATGTGGCCCTGGGCTTCCACAAGTCGGATTCCACCATCAGGAGGTCATCCAGTGGACCCGAGGAAGCCTTCCAGCCTTCTTCCCCAAGAGGGGCTGTCTTCATCTTTCTCCCCAGGGTTCCCTAACAATGTCCACCAACAACAAGGGGTACAAATGTGCAAGAAAGGGGGAAACTGAGGCCTGCCACAGGCCTAGGGCCCAATTCTCAGATGGATGAACTAGGGTCCCGCTCCAATGGAGTTGGGTTGCCCCCACTTTACCCCTTGAGAGGAGGCTCCCAATGGTGCACTTCAGTTTCCCTAGCCCGGTGGTTGGAGGGAGAGGCAGGGCCATGGGGAGCAGAGAGGGCTCTGAGCTGACAGCTGCCACCTTTTCAAAGGATGCTCTGTGTGTGTCTGGCAGGCAGCCCTGCCCGTGTCCACCCGCCTGTGTCCAGCTGGCATGGGGTCTCCTGAGCTGAGAACAGCAGCCCAGCCTAGTGCCTGGGCTCCCAGCCACAGGCACCCACTGTCTCAGCGGCCTCGGAGGCCACCCTGCCCCCTCCCTTATTGAGCCTGCATCCCCTCCTTCTTTCTCTCCTACTTTGCTGGATTCTTTTATTAATTTCGGAGAGGAAGGGAGAGGGAAAGAGACAGATAGAAACCTCAGTGATGAGAGAGAGCCGCTGATCAGCTGCCTCTTGCATGTCCCCCACATTGGGGATCAAGCTCGCCGTCTGGGCATGTCCCCTGACCAGGAATTGAACCGTGACCTCCTGGTCCATAAATCAACACTCAGCCACTGAGCCATGCCAGCTGGGCTTGGCTGGATTCTCACCGCTCTTATTTCCTCTCCCACCAGCCCCATTTCTTGATGTCCAGGAAAGGCAAAGACCCCTGTCACATCCCTAGCTACAGGAAAATGGAAACCCAAAGGCGGGGGTGGGGGGGAGGATGGGGGGGAGGGCAGCTAGGGTCAGGACCTTGAAACCTTCTAATCCTTTCCTCCACCTGAGCCAGTGACTGCTGCCAGGGGCTTATCCGGGGGAGGGCATCACCAACTCTTCCCTTAGCTCAGGAAGAGGGATCCCTGGCGTTGGGTGTGGGGTGGGGCCAAGCAGAGGAGCCCCACAGAGCACTGAGTGCCCGCCCCTGACATCACCAGGTGTCTGTGAAAGCAGGGATGCTCCTTTCTCACCACCCCCAGCCATCCCACTCCATCCTCAGCAGGAAAACGATCCTGGTGACTCACTCACTCCTGCAGACAACAGGTTCTAGAGCCTCATGAGTAGCAGCTCACACCAGAAGCAGCAGCAGGACTGCCTGCGTAGGCTACAGCGCCCTCAGAGGGTCCTTGAGGGCTTACCAGGGGCCCAGGGTGACGGGGGTTACTGTTGTTCCCGGCACTGGGAGGGAAGGGAATGTGGACACAGCCACTGAGTAAGTCATGGGCAGAGACAAGCTTTGTACCTTGTTCTCTGGCTGCTGTCCCCTGGGCCTCGCTGTGTCTAGAAGTGGCTCCTTTTCCTCCTCCCACCCCAGGGCAACCATGCACCTTTGTGGCAGAGGAGCCCCTGGCCTGGGAGAGGGAAGGGAGTCTTCAGAGGCACCTGTGGGCACTGTGATACTCCTCCATTAGCCTGGAGCATCCGTCACCAACCAACATGATTCATCCTTGTTACCTAGTGCCACACTCTGTGCAGGTTGCTTTAGTTGTTCCTTACAGGTCCTTTGTCTATTCCAAGACCCATCCAGGATCCTGCTGGAAAACAAATCAGTTTCTCTAAAAAAGAGATGTTGACAGGAAGCCAGGAAGGCTGGTCAACTGCCTTAATTGCTCTAACCTTTAGTTGAGATATTGTTAGCTGAAGCAGCCTCCACCTTGTTTGTCCCGCGTAAGTCTCTGTTATTTCCTACCTAAGGGCTCCATGTAAATTTCTGTTGATGTTGCCGAAGATGTTTTCCCCAAAGTCCCGATAAAAGGGGATGGCAGGGCCAAAGCAGGAATAGTTCTCCCCACTAGAGTTGGACTACCGCCTGGCCCCAAATATCGCCAAGTTGAATTTCTTCACGTCTCAAGTCTCTCCATGTGCGCGTGGCCCTTCTCCGGAACCTGGACCCTGAAATGGAACTCTCTCTACAGGATCCCAGGTTACATTTACTCACCATGTCTCCTTAGGCTCCCCTAGCCTGTGACCATGTCTCAGAGTTTCCCTATTTTTAATGACCACGGCAGTTTTGAGGAACACCGGTCAGGGATGTTCTACTGTCCCTCCACGGGGATTTGTCTCATGTTTTGCTCATGGTTAGGTGTGACTTTTCAGGAGAAAGAGCCCAGAGGTAAAATGCCATTCTCATCACATGATGTCAAGGGTACAGATCCACAAGATTGATTGCTGCTGTTGCTGACCTCGATTACCTGGCTGATAAGAGTGTTTGTCAGGCAGGTTTCTCCACTACTCAGTGACTTGCTGCCTCTTGTACTCTTCGGGAGGAGGGGTTATGCTCTACCTTCCCGAGGACACGGGATCTACATAAATTATTTGAATTACTCCCCACTGGGAATTTGCCTCTTCTTTATTTATCCAATCAGTTCTTTAATATCGGTGTGAACCCATGGATATTTATTTTACACTTTGGATTAGAATCCCATATTGCTTCATTTTCTTGCTCAAATTGTTCCTGCATTGGCTATTGCGAGTTCTTCCCGTTGGTAAATAAGATTTTTCAAGAGAATCTAGAAATCCAGATTGTTTTATAAAATCTCTGGATTTTGTTGACTGAGGGAGTCAAACTCAATGCTTCAGCCAGGCAGCTCTGGGCTCTGGAGTTGTTACCGGGTTGGAATCCTGCTCTGCTGCTTGCAGCTGAAGGACCTTAGGACTGAGTTAACTTGCCTGGGGCTCAGTTTCCTCCTCTGTGAAATGGGAGGATAGAACTTCAGGTGGTTGAGGGGATTCCATTGAATGGCTCAGGTAAAGTTTGGGGCACTGGATCTGACACAGAATCCTTGCTTATTAAACATCATTGCTACACACAGGAGCCAGGTGTAGTGAGGCAACTCCCTATGGAGGGCAAGAACTGAGTTTGGCCAAAACCGGTTTGGCTCAGTGGATAGAGCATCGGCCTGGCCTGTGGACTGAAGGGTCCCAGGTTCGATTCCGGTCAAGGGTATGTGCCTTGGTTGCGGGTGCATCCTCAGTGGGGGGGTGTGCAAGAGGCAGCTGGTCGATGACTCTCTCTCCTCGATGTTTCTAACTCTCTCTCTCCCTTAATCTCTGTAAAAAAAAAAAAAATCAATAAAATATATATATATATATATATAAAACAAAACCTGAGTTTGTTTTGTGGAGGCCTAAGAGGGACACCAGGGTTGGGAGTGGCCAACGGGATCCTGTGAGTGGATGAGAGTGGGAATTAACCTACCCCAACCCTAGATTACAACATGAGATTGACAGGTGGGAGAGAACCTAGAACCAGATGTACTGCTTCCCTCACTCTTAACGTGTGAATGGCTACCTCTGCCAGAAAGGCAACCCAGACGAGCACAGAGAGAGAGGCTCTGGGCTGCCCGCAGTGGTCTGCCAGGCTAGACCTTGAGGTTTGGTCATAGCACCGCCTCACACTGACCCTGTGACCACCCCTAAGCAAGTCCCAGTTCTCAGCCCTGGAGGGTAATTTCATAGTCTGGTCAAAGGTGGGCCCTGGGGGCGGGGACAGGGTACCTCCTTGTCTGTCCTCTAAGCGCAGAACCTTGGGGGCATCTGGTGAAGGGAGCGGGTGATGTCCAGGTCATCAGGCTGCTGGGTGCAGAGGGAGACCACTGTCCCTCAGACACTGGGACTTCGGGACCTGGTGGCAGAGGGGATATCTTTTAGCTTCGTATTGCTGCTGCAATAATTACTGTAAACCTAATGGCTTGAAACAATACGGATTTATTATCCCACAGTTCTGGAGGCCAGGAGTCCAAAAGGGTTGGCAGGGCTGCATTCCTGCTGGAGGCTCC